GACAATTGATGACAATTTATTGATGATATTACTCATTCAATGCTTTGATGATGTAAATTTTGAATGAACACAGTTGAAGAATTTAGAAGAAAATAAATACTATATAATAAATAGGACTTATAATATATATAAGATTCATTGTCGACTGAATTTTAAAACTGTTCCCCTTGAATATGCAAGTCTTGATTAAATTTTTATTAGTGAGGACAATTGATGACAATTTATTGATGATATTACTCATTCAATGCTTTGATGATGTAAATTTTGAATGAACACAGTTGAAGAAGTTAGAAGAAAATAAATACTATATAATAAATAGGACTTATAATATATATAAGATTCATTGTCGACTGAATTTTAAAACTGTTCCACTTGCATATGCAAGTCTTGATTAAATTTTTATTGGTGAGGACAATTGATGACAATTTATTAATGATATTACTCATTCAATGCTTTGATGATGTAAATTTTGAATGAACACAGTTGAAGAAGTTAGAAGAAAATAAATAATAATAAAAGCAAATTGACTAATTAATCAAAACTTTCGCAGTGGAATAATTTTAAGATTCAGCTGATAACAATTTTACAATGGTTATCAAACTTGTATAATGAAAATCTTGAATGAATACAGTACAGAGAACAATCAGTAACGAAAGAAAATTTAATCAACGTCATTGATTGATTGACTATTCAAGACTTTCGCATTGAAGTTTCTCACAGTGGAACAATTTCAAAATTCAATTAACAATTAATTTCATAATAAATTGCCTTTCCCTCAAAAGAGACGATATCTCTAATAATGATTGCCTATCCCTCAAAAGAAACGATATCTCAGCCATAATCTAACTAAAGTTTGTGTCTCAGATGACGTCTGACTAATTCGACGCTATTCTACTGAAATTGTCCGACAATTCGCGCTGGATTTATCTCCTGTTCGCCAGAAGATAAAACCGCGAGTCGAACTGTCTTAAAACTCGACAGTCTTGATAAATGACACTATTATATAATTATTTATATAATTTTGGTTCGATTGACATCAGAATATTTGATTAAATGAACGACGTAGAGAGAGAGAGAGAGAGAGAGAGAAGATGAATCTATAACAGTGGTTCCTAATCTTTTCTTGACCGTATTCAAAAGTGAATTTTTGACGTGGAGGATGTCCGAAAGGCCATTAACTTGGTCTAAATAAGCTCAAACAAGTCAAAAAGAGCATGACACTCATGAAAGAAAAAAACTAGAAATTTTCAATTGAAGAAATGCAAAAAAATTCACTGTTAATAACTCATTCTCATTGTCCTGTCCTAGAAAATCAAATTGCCCCCCTATGGAAGCATGAGTCCCACGTTGAGAACCATGGATCTATTATCTTAATCAATAAGACGAAAATAAAAGAGCAGAACATTTTGTACGATAAGTCGCGTGTCCTTCGGGTCAACTGCACATTGAAAACGGTCCAGTTTAAATGAAAAGAAAGTAAGTCGAGCAGAATATGAATGCCATTCGCGTTGAAAGAAATTTCTGGTTTCAAACGTGTTCTTTCCACGACATTTTTTTCTTCTTTTCTGAACCAATTGCACAGCTTGTGCCCCAATATGAAAAAAAGGAAAGAAAGAAACATTTTCATTGTTAAATGTTCGACCGTTTTCAAAGTAACTCTGGCTGGCAGAAGCCATAAACGCGAAACAAAATTACCTTTGCGCTCGACGCGAGTAATGATTTTATTATTGGGTTTATTATTGCAAACGAAACGGACGGATTGTTATAAAGAAAAACGTTTATAATGGAATATTAATCAAATTTTCAGTCGAAGTATATTGCAAGAGAGTACAGAAATAATTATTTTTCGCAATTTGTTAGTTCGTCGTTCAAATATTTGGTATTTTTCATCTAAATTCTAAAATTTTTCTGTTCTCTCTCAATTGTAGCTTTTCAGAAACTTTTACTTTGTTCGATCGAAGTTCCACGTTTTATCTTCGTTCACAATTAATGTATAATAATGTATAATTAATGTACAAATGTATAATAAATATATAATAACAAGAAATTCATTCTTGAAATTTAGCATTTGTAATATTCCCAATAATTCAGTGTACTGCTTAAAACCCCAGTAATTTGGCAAGCCTCGAGCTTTAAATCAACATCTGATATGTATCATTTAACAGCTTTTTGATCACAATAATTCTGTATGACTTTATACAGCCATTTCACTTACAACAATCTAGTAAAACTGTTTTGTAATATTACTAATATTACGTATTACATTATATTACTAATAGTACATATATATATATATACACATTACATTACATATTACATACATTGTAACATATAATATTATTTTGTATATTATCTAATATTAATCTGATTTAATAAGAATATTATTTTAAAATATATAATAAGGTGAAAATTAAAGACACAAATTTTGGACACAAGAGGGAGTAAGACAGGGGTGCCCACTGAATTCCACCTTGTTCATAATCCTAATTGCGGACATAGAAGAAGAGATGAAAAAAATGGCAATCGGGTGGTGGTGGTGGGCAGGAAGAAGTTTTAGACACTAGCGGATGACATCGCCTTACTAGCGTACGAGGAAAAAGAAATGAAGCAGATAATGTGAAGATTAGAAAAGTATCTGGACAGGAAGAAGCTGCAGTTGAACGAGGAAAAGTCAAAGATAATGGTGTTTAGGAAAGGAGGGAGAACATTGGCTAGAGCGAGATGCGGTTCTATCGAAAATGCCAACAAGTTTTGAGCAAAGGAAACAAAGAGAGAATGTCCGCTATGTGAAGAGGAAGAAGAAACGTTTGAGCACTGTAGACAATGCAGAGAATTAAGAGAAACCGGTCTCAACATGGAAAGAATCCTAGCGGAAGAGGTTGATGCGGAAGCGGTGGTCTGGCTCAGAGAAATAGAAAAAGAAAAAGAGAGAAGAAGAAACAGAAAACCAAATATAGAGACATAACTAGAGTAAAGAAAATACAGAACTAAAGAGAAATATATTAAGTGTTAAGGCATTGTGCATATGTCATTTTCTATTAGTCCAATTAGTCTATTTTATATTATAAGATTAGGTTAAAGTCTGGCATGCAATACTAGTATGCAAGGGAAAAGAAATAAGAGAACACTTGACAACTAAGGGAATTAAAAAGGGAAAACAAAATGTAAAGAATAGAAAGAATGTAAGTACCGAGGTCTATTTCTAGGCCAAAAGGCTGAAATAAAGATTCATTCATTCATTCATTCATTCATAGGATATATAATACTATTTTGTAGGATGTCAGAACGTGAAATTTTTCGCAGAAAGTTTGTCGACACATTATTATTACATGCTTCAAGCATCTGGGACAAATCTGACTAGTCGTTTCTGTCAACAAATGTGTCTTCATTTTTTAAACAATCGCTTTGTTTATGCCAAGTCAGTTACAATTCAGTTTGCTCGACAAACACGGAATCACAGACCGCTTAACCTCAAACTATGTGTCCACAAAGGGTTACAATGATTTGTGTTTAGGTTCGTTAGTACCTACCGAGCTAGTTACAACACGTGTCTGATCATAGACCGACCCTTTCTCCTTGCATTCGCTCATCCCTTCCGATATACACGTAGCGAAGAGCACAATTATCAAAAGGACATACCGAATCGCCGATTTTGATGAAATTTAGCATAAATATAGTTTTAAAAAAATATTTGACCCGTATTTTTTTTTTTTTTTTTTATCGGCAATGGTCAACGTTTAAGGGGTGAAAACTGAAATTGGAGGTGCGAAACATATTTTGTCAAATTTCTCGGAAATTATTGAAGATGCCGTATTTTTGCGTAAATTGATGAAATTAGTGTTTTTCATCGGCCAATTTGACGATATATATCGTTTCTCAAAAACACTGTATTTTTCATAACTTTTCTCAAGTAAATGATGTAAATAAGTAAAAAAAAAAAAAAAAGAAAAGATCACGCAACAATCCATTTTGGTCAAAACTTTTCATAGTCGTGGATTTGATATTTTTGGAAAGTGAGGATAGTTTCTTTTTCTCGGAAGTTGTAAAAATTTTTTTGTGACTAAATTCAGAAGATTGAAATCTCCTCTTTGCAACGAGCCCTCAATGTTCGCTTTGAAAAAAGATTTTCGTTTGCTATTTTCATTCAATTTGAAACATTAAGATTGTAGATGACGAATTTCTTGAATTCTTGTCGTTCGACTCTGACATTCGACGTTTAATAAAATGGTGAAAAAAAAATCGTACGACAGGTTTTAAGGGGTCGTTACAAAGAGAAGACTTCAGTCTCTAAGATCCTAATGGATCTAGTCGTGAAAAAGAAATTCTTCAATGTCTTTTTCACCTGTTTATTGAACATTGAATATCAAGGCTAAACGTCGAAATGTTAACTTTCAATAAAATTATGGAAAAAAATCGTACAATGATTTTAAAGGGGAGACTTCGATCTTCGAAATGACGTTGTAGGTCTAGTTATGAAGAAAAATTGTTTAACGTTCTTATACACGTTTGAACTTTCACAATTTTCGAGAGAAAGTATCCTTACTTTTCCCACCCGCTTCACGATGTAAACTGATCTTCAAGAAAAATGCACTCGACGATTATCAAAAGTGGAAGTTTCTCGCTTTAAAATGAGACACCCAAGTGTTACATGACCTTTTCTTTACGAAGTGATATCACTTTAAATTATCGAACAATTTTTCATCGTCGTTTCGTTATATTCTACGTAGTTGCATAAATATTTCTCACAACATTGCGCAATTATCTTGTACGAGAAAGAAAATCGTGGGAAATTAATCTCACGTTAATTTTTCGTTAAAACAAATTATACTTATTACAATTATACTTATTAGGATGTTCGTATATTTGGAAAATATAATAATCGCAGTCGTAACAATTATAATACTTTATCCTAGTTGTAATATCATTTATCGTAGCTGTAATAATTTTTCTAAATTGTTTTTCACTTGTCTGGTAACGTGAATCGTTGAACTTTGTTTCAGAGAGCTTCGATGCGTCAGAAACAACATACACACGAATTTGATGTTGACCTACATCCTGGCAGACCTGATGTGGATTCTAAACAACGTGATGCAGGTATTTTCACGGCAAATACAATATCCTCTGCAACCCCTCAAACGTTTAAAAACGTAACTCGTATTTAAAGCAATTCGACAAGTTCGAGGCAGAGACACACAAAATTGCAGAGGAGGTGACATTATCTAACATTCGTGGCAATGAAACTAAAATTCAATTAGGTACTCGATATTTAACAGAACGAATTTTACGTATTAATAAATGGCTTGACGAAATTACCCTCTGACGGAAAATTAGATTAATAATCGATCTACGTCGGAGAGAAGAGAACTCGCGTGGGGCAGGAAGTAGACTCTTAAAACTTCGTGAAAGTCTTTAGAATGTGTTTCAACCCGATGTTGAAATTCTTTCTTACGTAAAACAGCGGATTATTCGCTCGAGAGCTCAACTTTCATCGTTTTAATCTCCCCTGTCCTCGGGAACAAATGAAAAGAGAAGTGAAAGCGCTTATTACTTTCGGACGGTGCCCGACCTACAAAATCGAGAGAACTGAAACGCCACCACTTGTTGCTGAAACGTGAAATTAGAATGTTACCCCCCTCGGAGAGGAATGCCGCGTTTCCAAATTTCGCGAAACGAGAAATGTAACGGTTTCTGCGTGTGACACTCTGTTGCTTTTGAAATTTTTTTCTTTCTCCTTTTTATTAATATTTAAATATCCTTAATTTTCTTAATTTAAAAGGATTTGAATACTCTTAATTTTCTTAATTTAAAAGAATTTAAATATTCTTAATATTCTTCCGCTCAGAGCACAATCTTTGGATTATTTTAAACTGCTGGTTGTGAATTTGACAACACGCACGTGCTTCGTATTAAAAATACTTTTTTCACCCGGAGCACGGTTCTCGATTATTTTAAACTACCAGCTGCGAATTCTCAACACACTGTACAAGTCAAAAATATGTTGAAAGTATTCTTTGACTCGAAGCACGGTTCTCGACTATTTTGAAATTCACCTGCGAATTTTTAACACACCGTACGAGTTCAGAAGTCTCTCCTTTAGCGAATGAATTACGAGACATTATGAGTTTACGTACAATGAACGTTGCGAATGAAATATGAAACGTTGCTTATACCTTCATTAAATTAATTACACGTTACAAAGGAGAGTTACACGAAGGAGAGTAACATCCACGATGCATGAAAACAAATGAAACACGTGGAACGAATAATTTCCATTATATCTCGAGCAATATTCACCATGTGCATTTATCGTTTGCTGTTTCGCGATAAAGTCTGACATAATTGCAATTCGTATTGCTGTGATTGAAAACTTTTTTCCAGACACTTCAAGAAAAGAAGAATTGGAATTTCGTTGTTTATTAATTTAATTTAATTTAATGTGATTTTAAATTTAAATCGTATTTATTTAATTTAATTTAACGAATCTGTGAACAACTAACAATTATTAGTTTCTTAGTGTTAAAGAAAAATACGAAATAGCGAAGCAGCAAGCGGATAAAATAAAATTTTCAGAATACGAATGTAGTGTAAAGGGAAACAGAGAATATTATGTATGTATAAAATTAATACATAAACAAAAGCTTCTGTACTCTACTGTATTATAAACTGTTTTCTGTTTTATATATATATATATATAAAATTATTATAATATAATATAGTATCATAATTATTATATTATATTATAATATTATATTATAATTATAATACTATATTATATTATAATAATTTTATATACACATATATAAAATTATTATAATATAATATAATAATTATAATATTATATATAATAGTTTTATATATGTATAATATAATATAATAATTATATTATATATAATAGTTTTATATATGTATAATATAATATAATAATTATAATATTATATATAATAGTTTTATATATATAAAACAGAAAACAGTTTATGATACAATAGAGTATACAAGCTATTGTATTATAAACTGTTTTCTGTTTTATATATACATATATAAAATTATTATAATATAATATAGTATTATAATTATAATATTATATTATAATAATTTTATATATGTATATATATAAAACAGAAAACAGTTTATAATGCAATAGAGTACACCAGCTTTTTCTTTACGTATTAATTTTACACGAACAGTCGCTCAAGTCTCCAAAAATATTGTTCTACATCTATAAAACGTCCAACAAAAATATTCAACTGATCCTTTTGACCATTTTGGTAGGTCTAGTGTTAAACGTTAGATCAGAATAGAACTTGTCCGCGAGAAACGCGAGAAAATCGCTGGATTACTCGAGGAGCGATTTTCTTCGACAAGACGAGTAACCGGAAACGCGGTTGTCGAATGACCGCCGCTAACGGGCCGATGGAAAAGGAAATTAATTAATCACGATTCAGTTGGCACGTTTCATTTTTTTTCAATAATTAAAAGGCCAATACGAACGGCTGAAACGGCTGCTACGATGGGTGAAATTGGCCCTCGCGCAAAATTCAATTCACTGGGCCGCTTTTAATTACCAGTTCTTCCATTATTCTCCTCCTTTTCGCGTGACCATTAATCCAGGTACAAAAAAAAAAAGAAGGAAATATAAATATATTATTCGAGAGTGATCGTTCTCTCCCTTTTTAATTCCACTCTCACATTTTACAATATATTTCCTTAAATTTCCCATTTGAAGAAATCTCCCGTCTGGAATTATCATCGATTTTTCTTTTCTTCGTTAGTGCAATGAAAACTGGTCGATTATTATTTTTACGTATCCATTCTATACGTGGAAAAATGTCGCACGCTTTCGTTTTCGAGATGTTATCATAATATCGATTGGATCGTTGTAAATTCTTTTCTCTCGTGCATTCTTCTCGTCATAAATAGGTTCGTCGTAAGTCCTGTACACTTTGCCATTCAATTGACCCGTGAAATAATTTCTAATCCCTTGCGAATTCCTTTGAACTCGTGACGTGTGGCGTTTTCTCTTGTTTGTCCAGGTGTAATCGAACGAAATAAAATTTTATAGAAACTTCTTTTTGAGTTGTGTTCCGCCACAATGACATCAATTGTAGACTTGAGTTTGAGGAAGATTGACGGAAGGATCAGTCAAAGAAGTACTGATGTGACGATCGTAACGTGTGAAAACCGTGAAAGGTGATATTATTAGTAGAAAAAGAAAATGATATTTTTACACGCAGACTAAACGTCTGCCTGTTTCATCATGGAAACAACGTTCGAGATGTTCTTGACGCTTATTGCCATTATTGATTTTTCCACCAAGAAATTCTAATAACCCTCTCGACCTCGTTCAACTCTTCTTCTTTCACGTTCTTCGTGTTATTTAACTCGTATAAACGCACAGCTAGTAAACAAAAATAATGCAAAACCTGTTAAAATAAAAGATAAAAGAAACAAGCACGTTCAATATTCAGAATTTCACGTAACGTTAATATTTTATTACACGACATATATATATATGTTATACCTGTCATTTGCGGAAGATAAACATGAATATTCAATTTGTAATTGCAATTAAATTAAACACGCGCGGAGAGAATGATTTCGAGAAAGGTTTCACCTTTTACGTTTTGAAAAAGAGGAAAATAAAGTATTAACAATTTTCACGGTATCATTCGTTTGTTGATCATTTATTTACTGAAAAACGATTTTTAAATAACACACCGTCGGCTCGTCTAAACGTGTAATTTTAATTGGCTTTCCGCTTCAAAAATAGAGGGAACATAATATTAAAAATTTCATTTCACCCGAACGCAACCGTGTCCATTAACAGCGATAGAATTTTCTTTCTTCTTTTTTTTTTTTTT